TGCTCCCAGTAGCGATGCCAGGAACCCCTAGTAGCTTCTTGTTCCCAGTAGTAAGGCCAGGAGCCCCTAGTAGCGTCTTTGCTCTCAATAGCAATGCCAAGAGCCCCTAGTAGCTTCTTGTTCCTAGTGTTAAGGCCAGGAGCCCTTAGTAGCATCCTTGATCCCTAGTAGTGATGCAAGGACCCCTTGTAGCTTCTTGTTCCTGGTGGCAAGGCCAGGAGCCCTCAGTAGCGTCCTGGCTCCTAGTCGCGATGCCAGGAGCTTTTAACAGTTTCTTGTTCCTAGTAGCGTCCTTACTCCTAGTAGCAATGGCGGGAGCCGCTAGTAGCTTCTTCTTCCTAGCAGCATGGCCAGGAGCCCCTAGTAGCGTCCTTGCTCATAGTAGCGGTGCCGAGAGCTTTTAGTAGCTTCTTGTTCAGCAAGGCCAGGAGCCCCTAGTAGCGTCCTTGCTCGTAGCAGCGATGCCAAGAGCCCCTAGTAGCTTCTTGTTCCTAGTAGTATGGCCAGGAGCCCTTAGTAGCATCTTTGATCCCTACTAGTGATGCAAGGACCCCTTGTAGCTTCTTGTTCCTGGTGGAGAGACCAGGAACCCCTAGTAGCGTCCTTGCTCCTAGTAGCGATGCCAGGAGCTTTTAGTAGCTTCTTGTTCCTAGTAGTAAGGCCAGGAGCCCCTAGTAGCCTCCTTGCTCCTAGTAGCGATGCCAGGAGCCTGTAGGAGCTTCTTGTTCCTAGTAAGGCCAGGAGCCCCGAGTAGTAAGGCCAGGAGCCCCTAGGAGCGATCCCTAGTAGCGTCCTTGCTCCCAGTAGCGATGCCAAGCCCCTACTACCCCTACTACCTAGTTGTAAGACCAAGAGCCCCTAGTAGCGTCCTTGGTCCTAGTAGGGATGCCAGAAGTTTTTACTAGTTGTTCTTGTCTCTAGTAGTACGGCCAGGAGCCCCTAGTAGCTTTCTTGCTCCTGCCACCAATGCCAGAAGCCCCTAATAGCTTGTCGTTCCTAGTGGCAAGGCCAGGAGCCCTCAGTAGCGTCCTTGCTCTTAGTAGCAATGTCGGGAGCCGCTAGTAGCTTCTTGTTCATGGCCAGGAGCCCCTAGTAGCGTCCTTGCTCCTAGCAGCGATGCCAAGAGCCCCTATTAGCTTCTTGTTCCTAGTATTAAGGCCAGAAGCCCCTAGTAGCTTCTTGTCCCTAGTAGTATGGCCAGGAGCCCCTAGTAGCGTCCTTGCTCCTAGTAGCGGTCCCAGGAGCTTTTAGTAGCTTTTCGTTCCTAGTAGTAAGGCCAGGAGCCCCTAGTAGCTTCTTGCTCCTAGTTCAGAACTGTTAACAGCTTCGGTGTTTTCTGAATATTTCACCTCAGCTTGTGGATCCTGGGAGCTCGACGAAGCATCTGAACAAAATACTCGAAGTCGATCTGCTTGAGGCACAATTCATAGGCGTCCCAATTGGGCTCCTGGCAGTGGGAACTCAAAGCAAGGAGCTGCAAGAGAAAGGGCTGTGAAGGCAGACTTGGAAAACTGAACTGCTTGGATGTCTATGTCTTCCATGTCGAAAATAGGAACCTCTCGACCCACACTTGAAATGCAGAGTTTGGGGCGCGCCACACACAAAGTCATTGGAGAAAAGGGTGGGGACGGCACATTCGACGTTGTTCTGGGTGGCTTTCATCCACTGCAAGCCTGCCACGAAGTCGTCCTCCGTGCCCCCATAGATTTCCAGAAACTGCGAGATGTGCATATCCTCAGCGTCTTGTTACTACTAGTAACAAGTGCCACCCTAGTAGTAACAGGTGCCTTACTAGTGGTAACAAAGAAGCTATTAGAATTAAGTTTAAAGTAGCTTCTTGTTACTACTAGTAAGGCACTTGTTACTAGAAGCGAT